GCAAAGGTTGTGCCCGAACGAGTGCGGCCCGAGACGATGTAGCGCGTTCTGAGCTGACGCGATCACTGTGAACTCACCTGCTCGCGTCTCGGTCGATCACGTGCAAGTTCGCCCGCACGATCATCATTTCCTCTGACGGCAGCCGGTGAGCTTCGCCGACGGTGGCTGCCGCGTGAGTGGCATTCACGAGGTAGAGCATGGCCGCAGTGTGAAGCAACGCCGCCTTGGTGGAGTGCGGGCATAAATAATGACACGGTACGCGGTTTACATTCACTGGTGGTAAATATCGACCGGTCATTTTGTATACACCAATTACGGATTTTGGTAGGACCGCTTTCACACTCGCAGTTTATCGAAGAATCGTTGAATTTCTTGGCAAAGATGTACCCTAACTTATGATATATGCAGACTGACTAATTCATTATATATGGATGACTTTATTTACTTATAGCGAAAAGGGAAAGCTTGGGATATTTCATTCTAGTGTGGACTGTATGCGCGTATATTCCCTTGTTTTGTCTTTGCCATCTTCTTGGATTTTTATACAATATGATGAAACATTTATATACCTAATGGGGATGCAGATTTATATACCTATGTGATGCAGATTTATATTACCTAATAGTTGATGCAATTTAGATACCTAATCTGATGCAGATGATATACTATAATGCTGATGCAGATTATATACCTATAATGTGATGCCACGTTGATGTTTTTATGTAGTGTATTATGTTTGGAGCTGCATAATGTTTTGCGCGCTTAGTCTGGTAAAAGTGTAAACTACCTCAGACGCGCCATAAACATGTATACAAATCACACGCAGGCCGTCTAATCTGATAGCTCACGTCTCACGTTATCCCCCATTATTTCCCCGACAGAAGCACCATTTGCGTTAGAATGCTCCCTACTTTCCGATCACCGCGACAGCCCGTGACGGTCAGCAGAAGATACGTTGTCTGAACCTAAGTTCGCCACCCCAGGACAAGATATCCGGAGATTGCCCAGAGACATTGTACCTTGCAGGTTCATGAACATTGGCTGCCACGTGTACGTAAGTTGACCATTTAGACTACTACCAACTGGGCGAATGTTGTTGACAACGGATTGCTGTGTGGCGGTATTCTCACATCATGGTTAGAATAGTTTCAGCTAAATCACACGTAACAAATACGATTAATGTATTAAGTATAAGTAACGCTAATTACAAATCAAAAGAATCAAACCCTAATTAAAAACTATGCATTATTATATTTATAATAAATACATAATACTTCGATAGCCGAATATGCTACAAGTTTCGTATGTAGTAACACGAGCACCTCTATACTTCTATTATAGACATAATTTCTTGTAAATGTATGGTCACTACAAATTCGCGCGCGGTGTAATGACATTCCGCTGCGTTCGGGGTGGTGACTCGTTGGCCACACACTGCGCAGTGCCTGCTTCCGACGTGCCGACCCAATCTCTCTTCGCCGTCCTATCAAGCTCGTTTACACTGGTGATACGCTCTACCGGCGCCTCTCCCTGTAGCAGGCGGCCCAACGGATTCCCGCTGTAGCAGTTACCACGATTTCCCCTGCTAGCAGGACCCACGATTCCCCCTGTAGCAGGGACCCACGATTACCCCTGTAGCAGGACCACGATTTCCCCCTGTAGCAGCCGGGCCTACGATCCTCCTGCTAGCAGAGGGCCTACGATTCCTCCTGTAGCAGGGCGGCCCACGAATTCCCCCTGTAGCATGTGGTCTACGCATTCCCCTATAGCAAGGGGCCTTCACTTCCCACTGGTAGCAAGGACCCACGATTCTCCCTGTAGCCAGGACCCACGATTCCCCGAGCAGCGGACCCACGATTTCCCCCTGTACAGGGGCCTCGCTTCCCCCTGCTAGCAGGCGGCCGCTTCTCCCCCTGTAGCAGGGCCCACGATTTCCCCTTGGTAGCAGTGCCACGATCCCCTAGTAGCAGGGGCCTCACTTCTCCTGTAGCAGGGACCCTCGATTCTCCCTGTTAGAGGGGCCCACGATTCTTCCTCTGCTAGCAGTGCCCACGATTCCCCCTGTAGCAGGTGCACGATTCCCCTGTAAGCAGGGGCCTCACTTCTCCTGATAGCAGGGACCCTCGATTCTCCCTGTAGCCAGGCCACGATTCCCCCTTGCTAGCAGGTGCCCACGATTCCCCCTTGTAGCAGGCTGCCCCACGATTCCCCTGTAGCAGGGGCCTCGGCCCTTGATTCGATTTTGATCATCTTATGAAATGCGGTGTGATGCTTCTATGGTGCAGACGGTACAGAACAGCTAGGCTCAATTTACTGCGAAATTTCCAGTTACTAGAACCGTCAACGCTAGTTTCAAGCTTACCAGCTAGTACCACGAACCTACCATTAAAATCATAGCCTAGCTGATTCCAGTATGGACGCTAGACCCAGCTATGGCCGGGAGTGTAGTCGTGCAGTCAGTTTGCATTAATGGCCGAATTTGGCCGCATTGCATTCGTGGCAGCAACGCCGCGATCGCATAATCGCGCGGCTAGCATTTTTTTCACCGCCAGTAATACATTTACGTGGATGCCGGTCTCAATGTAATTATGGATTCGCCGCAGCAGTGCGATGCCACCAGGCCCTATAAGCAAAGCAGCCGCACATCAAACAGCGCGTTTAGCGCCTTGATAATTTTCAACTCAGCGCCTTCTCCG